ACATTAAAATGATGGGGTACCTTGTTTTAGCAGAGGTGGTAAGTGTACTACTCAAGTACTGTACTACTTGTACTTTACTTGAGTATTTCCATTTTATACTACGTTGTACTACTCCACTTCAATTCAGAGGTAAATGGTGTACTTTTACTACATGTATTTAATACCTTTAGTTACTTCACAGATGTGGATGAATGATGTGAAATATAATTAAGTGTTGAATCAGACTTTAGTTCCACCTGGAGTAAATCCACCAGCTACCCTGACGTACAAAGTCATTCAAACTAGCTGCACCTTTACCAGCTTTGAGAACACTTTAATGATCAATCATTATAAAACACATCATATATATTATTCTGAAATGGACCAATCTGCACAATGACTATTGGTAGGCCTACTTTAAGTATATTTTGATTCTAATACTTTTTATATTTGAATGCAGGACTTTTACTTGTAACATAGTATTCATACAATCTGGTGCTTCTACTTCACTCAAGTACAAGATCTGAGTACTTCTCCTACCACTGCGTATTACCTCTATGTAACTACGTCTCTCACATATCCAACTGCGATACGCCTCCAACTTGCTGTAAGCGTCACATAAAGCATCAACAACAAAGAGGCGGTATGTTTCCAGTCAAGTCCGGAGTGCCTGTACACCGAACATCGACACAATGTTGTTCTCCATGCTCCACAGCTAAGGCCTTTATTCCTCACTTGTTTACTCCAACTTCAATTTCTATGTGCGCAACACCACCTGGAATGCGGACACTGCGTGGCGAACTAGAAAAACGCACATGGCACAAGATCAAGAATCCTATACATGCAGGAAAACAAAAAGTCCTCTCTCAAACAAACACACTTTGCCCAGAAATATAGCAGACTAACGCAACACAAGTGCGCAACAAACGCACCTGCGCCATGGAAGCAACGCAGAACCGATCCCAGATCAGCTGAGATGTTGGAAATAACTTCACTTACGCGTAAAAGGTGATCATCTTTTGCTCCGGGATGAAATATGCCACTCACAGCAGGCGACATTTTCCTCCTGTTTTAAAGTGCGTGTCATCTGGCAGGTGCAACTTCGAATAGAGACGTCCCGGCGCAGTGAGTCCTGTTCGGGCTGATTCGGTTAGGCTCGGTTCTGCTCGGCTCCACTGACCATGACTGCGTATACTTCCCCTTCTGCTCCATCAGCCAGCAGCTCCACTGTGTTCCTGCCTTTTCATTATCTCATGTCCATGTGACACAGCCTCTGTCAGTGGAAACTTAAAGGGACCTCCCACGTGATGATGCGCGTGCACGCCTGGCACACATCCCCTTAGAAATAAGATGTTACGCCTCTAATAAAAGTCAACCTTCAGACTGCTGCTACCCTGTTCTTACCGGAACCATAATGAGGAAGAGGAGGATGATGCCCTTACTGTTGAAAATGAGGATGACGATGTTTACAGACATGAGGAGGATGGGGATAAATGAAATACATGTTAGTGCTGTGATGACAGTGGTGAACGGAAACTAAATAAATGTAACCAAGAACAGTAGGTTATTTAAACACATTTATATTCAGATTCACATTAATAATACAACATATAGTCAACAAATAATATATCACGAAAGGCTTATTATTATAGGTTAAGATCAGAGGTGGGAGAAGTACTCAGATCTTGTACTTGAGTAAAAGTAGAAGTACTCAGATCTTGTACTTCAGTAAAGTAGAAGTACTCAGATCTTGTACTTGAGTAAAAGTAGAAGTACTCAGATCTTGTACTTGAGTAAAAGTAGAAGTACTCAGATCTTGTACTTGAGTAAAAGTAGAAGTACTCAGATCTTGTACTTGAGTAAAAATAGAAGTACTCAGATCTTGTACTTGAGTAAAAGTAGAAGTACTCAGATCTTGTACTTGAGTAAAAGTAGAAGTACTCAGATCTGGTACTTGAGTAAAAGTAGAAGTACTCAGATCTTGTACTTGAGTAAAAGAAGAAGTACTCAGATCTTGTACTTGAGTAAAAGTAGAAGTACTCAGATCTTGTACTTGAGTAAAAGTAGAAGTACCAGAGTGTAGGAATACTCTGTTGCAGTAAAAGTCCTGCATTCAAAATGTTCCTCAAGTAAAAGTAGGAAAGTATTCTCATCAAAATATAGTGAAAGTAGCGACAGTAAAAGTAGTCGTTGTGCAGATTGGTCCATTTCAGAATAATATATATGATATGTTTTATAATGATTGATCATGAAAGTGTTCTCAAAGCTGGTAAAGGTGCAGCTAGTTTGAATGACTTTGTATACTGCAGGGTAGCTTGTGGATTTACTCCAGGTGGAACTAAAGTCTGATTTAACACTTGATTATATTTCACATCATTCATCCACATCTGTGAAGTAACTAAAGGTATTAAATACATGCAGTGGGGTAAAAGTACACCATCTACCTCTGAATTGTAGTGGAGTAGAAGTACAAAGAAGCATAACATGGAAATACTCAAGTTAACTACGATCTACGAAGATGATGAAGATGTCAGGTGTTGATGAAAGGGATGAAGATGATTAAGCTTCTTTGTTGTCTTGTCCTTTCTTTTGAAATGAGATCATGCTGTCTGTGTGACATCATAGGCTGACTAACACTGTGGGGAAACACAGCTGATCTCATGTCAGAGAAGGACTGACGGACAAAGACAGACAAAATCCTCCTTAAAACCTACGCAGATCCAATACATCCTATAATATAATAATGGGTTCAAAATGTTAATTAAGTAAAAGTATTATTTTTTGAAAGTGTTGTCAATGTATAGCACATAAATAAGGATAATACTGTCAATATTTATTCCTGCACTTTGTCTACTTGTCTCCTCTGTCCTCCACTCGTTAACTGTATTAATGGCACTTGTTTGAACTTAAGGTGCCATTGGAGTTTTCCGTCTCTCTTGTTTACAATCACATGTTTTTCTTAAGAAGATGACCTTTGTGTGCCTGAGGACTCATCACAGTTCATTAGAAAGCATTACTCAAGACTGAAAGCCCTGTGAGAAAACAAATTACTTAAGTATTATTGAGAGGTTCAGTTCTACAAAAACAATCACAACAGTTCAATCGAATTCAAATCTGATATGCACAACAAAAACATGTTCAGATGTCCATGATCGGACATAGCCAGTGTAACTCTGATGATAAAACCATTCTCGTATTCTCAGTGTCTGGGTTTATATCCTCTCTAAGGAAACTTGACGAGCGCCGTTCAATTTGCAGTAAGTGAAAGCAGGACTGTGCCAATGCTGGGCGTTCACTCGGAAGAAAAACACCATTATCATTCAATCCACGTCAGCACGAAGAGGTCCACCCGCTGATGATTCATCAGATATTATATAAATAACGCATTTTAAATAAAAAAACAGGGAGGGTCAGGCTGTAACTGTGTTTTTCCCCACTTCCTCCAGGCGTCTTCACTGCTCTGTTTTAACAAGCAATGTCATGTATTGTTAATGTGATGAAATCAAGTTTTTTAATCCTGTGGCTTCTACAATTAATGATGTTATTGTCTTGATATTAGCAAGATTCCTAACCTAAAAAGGGGATATTTTATATTGTTTTTGTCATTACTGATAATTGTATCCTGTATTAATGTATTTGATTTCTTGCTGTCAGTTTTCCAGCACCCGCATTACAAGTTAAAATGAATAAGTACATTATAATACAGATTATAATAAGGCAGAGTGGTTAAGATATTGTAAATATGAATCTTGATAGCTTACTATTGGTCTATATATGCATTAACATTTCGTATTGGACTTAGGGCATCTGATACATAATCTAATAAGGGAGAATTTAAGCAGAGGATAAAGTGAGTATTGTTCGACTCTATAATACATTTCGGTAAAAGAGGTCCTTTTAACTGGAATAAAGCTACGTTCACATTACTCATCGGATGATTCATCCACCCTGTGAATTGTCGTGAAAAACTGAGATCACACAGAGAGGTGATTCTGAAAAGCAGACTATACTTTCTTTGTTTCAGAAAGAAACCACTGCAATGTTTAACAGGTCAATGACTGTACAGTACAAAAGATCTGATATTTAACTTTATGACATCACAAAACAGGGCACAGCAAGGCAAGATATAGGACATCACAAAACAGGGCTTTATAAACAACAGGACAAAAACAAGGAAATTCAGCCTCGGGAGGACAGGATAGGATAAAGGAAATTAAAATGTCACACAAGCAAAGTAAAGTGCATGTTTGAAGACACAAAAAGGCCACAAATAAAACAAAAGAGCACACATTGTTACCAACATCAACATGAGTAACAATGAGTGAGAAAACAGTAGTGTACCCCTTTCACAGACAATGTAAAAATGTACAACTAAGTATGTGTGTTGGATAAACAAATAGTAGTTGTTAAGATGTATAGAGAAGTTATTTGTGTTATATTTCACTAACTTGCTTTTGAGACCAAGTTGTCATTTGTCAAAGTTAGATGTGAAGACTTCATCTTAAGCACCGAAGACTTCCTTAATTATATCCCAATTTATTAGGGATAAGGAGTACCTAATAGTAAGATCTGCGTATATTTTTAAACTATGGTTTTTGAAAACATATGATATATTATGCTGCATATGACACATTCGGCTTAGTAACTGCATCATATTGAATACTCAATTGCATGCAAAACCAAACAGGGTGATAGTTTGATTGCAGATGTTTTTTTGTTGTTGTACAGTTCATTTTATATTTAGGGAAAATTCATGTTTCTAAAAAAAAATGGGCCGACTCCAAACCTAATTATGATTTGTTTTAACCAATAAGTAAATCAAAAGGCTATCAAAAGTAATTGTGTATTTAACAAATATCTAATCCGATTTTTTCCTATACAATATATATGATATTCATATATGTTCTTGAATAAATAAAGGTGAAACAACAACAACAACAACAACAACAACAACAACAACAACAACAACAACATCAAACAGGGTGTACTGTCTCTTTAAGAGCTGTCAGTGCCCGCTTCTTGCCTCGCGCTGTCTGCTTGTTATTTTCTGCAACAAGATGGCTGTGGTTCCAGAGAGCGTCCTCACTTTCGGCGTTTTTAAATGGAGCTCTTACTCCTCTACATATTTACCAGAGTGAGTAATAAACAGGCTAGTTGGCCCCGGCGTATGCACATCATTTTGTGGTCAAAAGTGGTATTTGTATCGCTTCAATGCACCATTGTTTGTTCCAGCAGGGCCCGACCGGCCTAGCTCGTCTGCCGTCTGAGCTAACTAGCATTAGCATTTTTAGCATCAGTAGGGGCGTTTAGTATTGATAATCTACCGCCAGTTTGTTGTAAACAGTAGATTATAATGGGTTATATGTTCACTTTAGCTCTGTTTGAATGTATAAGTATTCATCACTGTCAATTACATCATTCAATTAATAGGAGTTTGTCTCTTTTGAACTGCCAGGGTGCTTTGTTTACGTCAATTTACTCGATTATAGCTTGTTTTGGAGCATTTCTTGCCACTTATTCAGCAGTTTCTTCACAGCTTCACCCTAAAAGGCTTAGCCAACATTAGTTTATTGTCTAAACACCCATGTTTTTATAAGTTTGGTTAAGCTATGTTCAGTGCGGCACCATAGTATGTCAAAAACGAGCGTCCACGTTAGCTCATGAGCTAGCAGTTAGTTAGCATTAACTAGCTATCTAAACAAATATAGCTTTGCTTTAGCATCAACAGCTAATGACTTTGTTTACCGGCTAAAGGCACATTGTGTTATACATTGAAAGGTCACATTTTAAAGATGATATTAACAGATAAACACTCAAAATGTTAACATGTATATGTGATGTCCCGCATAGTTTAACATCATGTGCCTGTTGCTGGTTCAGCATGTCAATATGGGACCAATCAGACATGTGTCAAGGATTACTGGCAGTTAAACAAAACACAATTATTAGATACTAAATTTAAAATGAAAATGTGTGTGTATGTATATATATGTATGTATATGTATGTATTTTTGTTGGACGAACGCACTTATTGTAAGTCGCTTTGGATAAAAGCGTCAGCTAAATGCAATGTAATGTAATGTAATGTATATATATGTGTATATATATATATGTATATATATGTATATGTATGTTTATATATGTATATATGTGTATATATGAATATGTGTATATATATGTATATGTGTATATATGTGTGTATATGTATATGTGTATGTATATATATATGTTTATATGTATCTATATGTATATGTATATATGTGTATGTGTATATATATATATATATATATATATATATATATTTATATGTATATATGTATGTATGTATATGTATATATATGTTACTGGTTCAGCACTCAATCAGATACAGGCTAGCTTTAGCTGATGTTAATTTGATCTAGACAGACAGACAGACGGACAGACAGACAGACAGGGACGGACAGACAGACGGACAGACAGACAGACGGACAGACAGACAGACGGACAGACAGACAGACAGACGGACAGACGGACGGACGGACAGACAGACGGACAGACGGACGGACGGACGACAGACGGACAGACAGACAGACGGACAGACAGACAGACGGACAGACAGACAGACGGACAGACAGACAGACGGACAGACAGACAGACGGACAGACAGACAGACAGACGGACAGACGGACGGACGGACAGACAGACAGACAGACAGACAGACAGACAGACAGACGGACAGACAGACAGATGGACAGACAGACAGACGGACAGATGGATACTTTATTGATAACAAATTGTGAAATTATTGTGTTACAACAGCAGTGCATTAAAGTATTTTTAAAAGGTGGAATAAAGTATAATCATAATACCATATAAAATAAACTGCAAATATTAAGATATCCACAGTAGAAAAGACACAAAATACCACAAAGAAAACACAATATAATGTATTCTGGACAATTAAAATGTTCTATAATAGACCAAAGTACTGCAGCAATGTACTTATAGAGTTATACTACAAGAGCAGAGACATATGATGGTATATAAATCACAGATGTGCAAGGTGGCTGTTGTTCATGGTTATGGAGAGGGAAAACCTATGGAGCAGCTAGTTAACATCAACGGTGTGCTAGCTTATACTGACGTTATATCAGGCCTGCATAAGTAGTATTTATATAACTTCCTTTATAGTTACTGAAAGTCAATACAAACACACCTACATCCTCCCTTTCTGCCCCAAAATGAAATGTGATTCCTAGATCATAACTGGGACAGGAATGAAAACACTCTTCACTTCTCTTTGGTGGTTTCTTAGGAATATCTTGGTGGACAAACCTAATGATCAGTCTTCCAGGTGGTCGTCTGAGAGCAACTACCCTCCACAGGTAGGTCGTCTGCTATTTACACAAACTCTCTCTTATTCAATTGACCCCTCTCTGCCAGGTGAAGCTAGACGTGTGCATTAAGAACACATTGTCCAACTTAGGGAGCCATGTTTGTTTATATTGTAGGTGGTTGATATCAGTTTCTTAAGAAGCTCAGGTCTGGCCAAGTTGGCCCCGAGTCGACCTTACTCAGCCTTGACTTTTTTAGGAAATGTGTTTGATTTAATGGCGCGTTTCCACTGCAGCGGGTAGCTCGCTTTAAGCGTGCCGAGCCGTGCGGGGCCCGTTTTTGGTTGCGTTTCCACTTGGCCTAGTTTTGGCCCGGGGCTACTTTTTCACCTTTTTTCTGGCCCGACTAAATCGTGGTTCTAGGGCCAGGAACAACCAGGCTGAGTATGCTAAACTCGAGAGAATCGCTGGCAAGGGGGCTACAACTACAACAAGATGAACATATTTGACCGTGAATTAATTGTAATACACGTTTCAAAATGATGCCGAAGTAACAACATACTGATACCGGTTAGTAAAAACCATGAATTAATGCTTTGACAAGTCTGCAGACAGACGGCAGGCGAAAAACCCTTTTAAAATGCGTGTTTTCTAAATGTAGCTTGGCTAAGCTAACGTTATATATGCTCCGACCGTCCACACTCACAACAACGGCCTACAGACATACATAAACCAGCGACTGTATTCTCCATGACACAGGCAGTCTGTGGTTTGTACTTGTTTAACTTTTGTCTAGTTTCTGAACAGATATGAGGAGCTGTGAGCTCTGAGTGCTAACAGCTAACGGCTGTGTTGTTTTTCTGGGGCTCTCATTGAAGATGACGTCACGGCTCCGCCTACACTGCGTTACTATAGTAACTGCCCCAGTTCCTAAACTGTAATGGAAACGCAGCATTAAAGTGAGCCGGGCCTAATAAGGCCTAACCAAACCGAGCGAGGCCGAGCGAGGCCTGCAGTGGAAACGCGCCATAAGTTGACATGGGCTGATAACTCAATTCAAATTGTATGACGACAAAGATCAGAGTTGATGCTGTATATTCAAAGTGATCTTGTAAGATAGAAACAGCACCGTACTGTATGTGACACTAGACTTGATGATGCAAGAGGAAAGGCAATTTTAAGACATCAAATTAGTTATCGCTATGTCGTTTTCTGATAATTGGCTAAATAATGTCATCAATCAGTGTGCCTCTGGGACCGTCATTTAAATGGTGTAATTAAATAATTTTTTGGAGGAAACAAAGTATTTAGTAATATGTTTTATTATGTAATTGATGAGTTGCTCATTAGTACGCAAGTTTGTCTGCATTCTTCATACAGCAAAAAAGTAGTTTTACCATAACGTCTCTTGAACTCTTCAGTAGTGTTGTGTCTGGCAGAGGTTACATCTGAAGGTTGTCTGGTATTGCAAAAGGAAATTAAGCCTTTCGAAACAATGGTTAACCAGTTAAAAGGATCTGTACATATTTTGTTACAGACAAATGGAGTTTTAATGTGAGATCAGGCTCTACCATCACATGTTGAATCGTGACAAACTGGGCCCAAAGAACCAGATCAAAGCCTGGCAGGAGAGTTTCTAATGATTAAAAAGGTGGACAGTGAAATTCATGTGAAAAGACTCAGCAGGAATTGAGTGGATCGAATATCTATGTCTTTAATGAGAGAATGTGAAATCATGTGCTTTGTTAAATGCCTGCTACCAGTGAGCGTTTATCAATGGGCTCTCCTCTCGTTCTGGTCTAATTGCCACTGTTGATTTATCACTGGATGTCCTGGCTTGTTAGAGCACCGCTGACATGTGGATTCGCCTCATAGACTGCATATGATTTGCCACTTACCTGACGCAGTAGATTGACCCTGCTGTAGTCGGATTGACTTCATATCTTCTCCCTCCTTTCTCTCTCTTTTCCTGCAGTTTTTAATCCTGAAATTGGAAAGGCCGGCAATTGTTCAGAGCATCACTTTTGGAAAATATGAGAAGACTCACGTGTGCAACTTGAAGAAGTTTAAAGTGTTTGGTGGGATGAGTGAAGAAAACATGACAGAGCTTTTGTCCAGGTGAGGTGTCAATGCTTGCGTAAGTACAACTGTGTTTGTGTGTCATTGTTACACAGAATTTAAGCTGCTTCGGTGTGAAAATTAGAGCCATTTGAACCTTTTTGTGGGAGAGAAAGTGGAGTAGATTGAAACTTGTTGATGTAATAGACAACCTAAGCAGTAATACATCTGCAAAGAAGTTGAATCATTGCTGTCTAGTTTTAATGTATTGACCTTGTCTAATAGCATATCTGAAACCACCGGATTGTTATCAGCACCAATATTGACCTTTTTATAGCCATTTTCCATTGCAGGAACTTAATGACATGATGACCGATTTAAGCATTGCTTCTGCTTTGAATTGTCCTACTAATATTCAAACTGGACCATTTGTATACGTGACTGGAAAGACATCAGCCTTCTGTACACGCTGTTTGATAGCGGAGTAGAGTTCAGATGTGGGATGGACAACAATGGGGAAAAAGGCTAATATTGATTCTCTCTCACATTAGCCTGTAATGACTTTTAAAATATTGGTTTATGAAACATAATGGACGGGCCCCACCTGCTGTAGATGGACCGGAGAGAAGAGTAAAGACTGCAGTTTGTATGTTCTGGAAATACTTTAAGCAATCCAAAATGTACTGTAATACTTTTATCAACGTACTTGTGATTACAGGATCACACATTCCTGGAAGAGCTGTTTCGTAGGAAAGCATTTCGAAATGACTAAGCTATTCTTTGTCTATCTGATTTGTAAGCAGGGCTGCTCAATTAATCGTATTTTAATCGCAATTATGGCTTGCAACGATTACGAAAACAACGTAATCGAAATAAAACGATTATTTTTTTGTTATTATTATTACTTTTATTGGTTTTTCAGTTCAATTATACTTAAAGTTCAGAGTAATCAACTGTTAAAAACATACTGTTCAAATAATTTGATGTTTTCAAAGTAAATGGATAATCGTTTTTAATAATCGTGATATCAATTATTGACACAAATAATCGAGATTATGATTTTTGCCATAATCGAGCAGCCCTATTTAAGTACATGCTGCTAAATGCTGCTTTCAAAGCATCTACCAGCTGTGTTTATACCTGATAGTTAAGACATATATTAGTTGTATATCTGGATTGCTATAACATACGGCATAGCATCCCAGTAAAAAGCTGCATGTTTCGATTATTTTATTCTTTCTGTTCCAGTGGCCTTAAGAATGACTACAATAAGGAAACATTCACCTTAAAGCACAAGATTGATGAGCAGATGTTTCCCTGCAGATTTGTCAAAATAGGTGAGAGCAGACGTGGTTTCTATTGGTCTCATACATGGTGAATATGTCTCTATTTTGACACTTCTTCTTCTCTTGCTCACAGTGCCTCTGATGTCTTGGGGTCCCAGTTTTAATTTCAGCATCTGGTACATTGAGCTGCACGGTATTGAAGATCCTGACGTGGTGCAGCCCTGCCTCAACTGGTACAGCAAGGTGAGAAAACGACGATAGCCTCGAGGTTAGAGACGTGGATTAAAGATTCAGCCCTAGGCGGGATTCTGTAATTGGATGAATGAATCAGGTGGCAAGAGAAACAAACGTAATAAGAAAAGCTACCTCCGAGCTCTCCCTGAACAACACAAATGTCCTTGAGCAGGATTACGAAGGATGCAATACAGAGGTGGGAAGTAGTGGAGTACAAATACTTCGTTACTGTACTTAAGTACATGTTTCTGATATCAGTGCTTTACTCCACTACTTATTTTTCTGACGACTTTTTACTTTTACTTCTTACATGTTGAACTCAAATACCTGTACTTTCTACTTCTTTCATGTTGAACTCAAATACCTGTACTTTCTACTTCTTACATTTTGAACTCAAATACCTGTACTTTCTACTTCTTTCATGTTGAACTCAAATACCTGTACTTTCTACTTCTTACATGTTGAACACAAATACCTGTACTTTCTACTTCTCACATGTTGAACTCAAATACCTGTACTTTCTACTTCTTTCATGTTGAACTCAAATACCTGAACTTTCTACTTCTTACATGTTGAACCCAAATACCTGTACTTTCTACTTCTTTCATGTTGAACTCAAATACCTGTACTTTCTACTTCTTTCATGTTGAACTCAAATACCTGAACTTTCTACTTCTTACATGTTGAACCCAAATACCTGTACTTTCTACTTCTTACATGTTGAACTCAAATACCTGTACTTTCTACTTCTTACATGTTGAACACAAATACCTGTACTTTCTACTTCTTTCATGTTGAACTCAAATACCTGTACTTTCTACTTCTCACATGTTGAACTCAAATACCTGTACTTTCTACTTCTTACATGTTGAACACAAATACCTGTACTTTCTACTTCTTACATGTTGAACACAAATACCTGTACTTTCTACTTCTTACATGTTGAACTCAAATACCTGTACTTTCTACTTCTTACATGTTGAACTCAAATACCTGTACTTTCTACTTCTTACATGCTGAACACAAATACCTGTACTTTCTACTTCTTACATGTTGAACTCAAATACCTGTACTTTCTACTTCTTACATGTTGAACACAAATACCTGTACTTTCTACTTCTTACATGTTGAACCCAAATACCTGTACTTTCTACTTCTTACATGCTGAACACAAATACCTGTACTTTCTACTTCTTACATGTTGAACTCAAATACCTGTACTTTCTACTTCTTACATGTTGAACCCAAATACCTGTACTTTCTACTTCTTACATGTTGAACTCAAATACCTGTACTTTCTACTTCTTACATGTTGAACTCAATACCTGTACTTTCTACTTCTCACATGTTGAACCCAAATACCTGTACTTTCTACTTCTCACATGTTGAACCCAAATACCTGTACGTTCTACTTCTTACATGTTGAACTCAAATACTTGTACTTTCTACTTCTCACATGTTGAACCCAAATACCTGTACTTTCTACTTCTCACATGTTGAACACAAATACCTGTACTTTCTACTTCTTACATGTTGAACTCAAATACCTGTACTTTCTACTTCTTACATGTTGAACTCAAATACCTGTACTTTCTACTTCTCACATGTTGAACACAAATACCTGTACTTTCTACTTCTTACATGTTGAACCCAAATACCTGTACTTTCTACTTCTTACATGTTGAACTCAAATACCTGTACTTTCTACTTCTTACATGTTGAACCCAAATACCTGTACTTTCTACTTCTTACATGTTGAACTCAAATACTTGTACTTTCTACTTCTCTCATTTTCCAAACAGCTGGTTCCTTTAGTCTGAATGTGTGTTTGATGCGTGATCATTATTCTTTAGAGTCATTGCGTGCCTATTGATTTGAACACGATCCGTGTATCCATCATTTCCTGGTCTTCTCTAAAGAAGAGGGACCAATGGAAACGTTGTCATGTTGCCGTTGTTCAGCATGGAAACATTCATTAGCTAACAATGACATTATTGTTCTATTAATATAAAGGGAGGTCAGGTACTCTTTAAAACAGCTGCTAGCTATGGGTACTTTTTACTGAAGTACATTTCAAAGCCTCTTTACTTTTACTTGAGTCAAGAAGTTTAGTCAGTACTTCTACTTTTACCAGAGTATTTTTAAACACTGTACTTCTACTTGAGTAAAGGATGTGTGTACTTTTACCATCTGATGCAATCACACAGTTTCCTTTCATCAAACTCGTGTGAAAACATTGGATTTGTCAAGTTTTTCAACATTTTAATTGTAGCAGAATTCCCACCTAAACCAGGCAGTGTTAATGAAAGTCACACAAAGACTCCGCAGTAACACATTAATGGGACAAAGTCATTTAACCTGTCATGTTTAACAATTTCCATTTTCAATCCCATTGCTTGATGTAATTTATTAAGCCAATAAATCTTTGTTTTTGTTTTTTTTAAATCCCACATCCAACAAAAAGCTTAACGGTGATAATTAAAGAGGTTTTATTGACACTGATTTACAATTTTTTAGGCTTTGTATAGTGTATTTTTTGATCCCTTATTTACTGAATAGGAAGTCTGTTCTTTTCATTTAGCAAAATAAAAAATAGCCACACTTCTTAAATTCATCAGTGCTGTCTTAATGGATATATTTGATTATTTTTAAAGTATTGTCCCTCCTTCCTCGTGGTAATAATGACATTATACTCACCACGTTAATAACTGAGAAGAAGAAGCGCGACACCACACAAGTCTCAGCATTAATATTATCCTGTTAACCTAAAAACAAACGTAGCATTTTTAAATCAGGATATACTCGATAAAGAAGAAGTAAAAGCTTGTAATGTCATTTAGTGTCGCCTGAGTTTAAATGTATGTCTTGTCACCTCTGAGTGAACTTCTCCATGCAAATAATAATACACTTTATTTGTATAGCACAAAGACAGAAAACATAACAATATTAAAATAAATACAGAACAAGGTAAAACATCAACAGTGATCCTAATGAAATTCCCTTGAAGTAAAGCTGACCCAAATTAAAATCCATATTAAAAAGATAGATTTGTAATGAGCTTTTAAACATTTCAAGGGAGTCTGTTGCTAAACCCTTTGAGTCTCTGGTCGTTCTTTCTATATCTGCATTAATGTGTTTCCTCTCCATTGTTCCCTCGCAGTACAGAGAACAGGAAGCCATCCGCCTTTGCCTGAAGCATTTCCGACAGCATAACTACACCGAGGCCTTTGAGTCGCTGCAGAAGAAGACCCGGATAGAGCTGGAGCATCCGATGCTAACTTACCTGCACGACCGCCTGGTGCTGCAGGGAGACTTCGACGATTGTGAGGAGCTCATCGACAAAGCTGTGGGAGGTAACACCTGATGGAGTCAAGATTACTTTTTTGCGAAATAAAGAAATAACAAGACAATTTTACTCAAATAAAACAGCTGCTTGGGCACCAGTAAGCAAATCTTACGCAGGAAAAATGTTCAGTGTCCAGGCAACAATATCTTCTGTGCATTTATTTTATTGTATCTCAAAAATACAATACATAAAAAACAATGGATTCACCTCGCCTTTCCAGGTGCCCTGAACTGCCTTCTAAATAAGCATTAAGAATGACTTAAACTCAAATTATAACGATAAGTATTGAGTAATTAAATATACATAAATGTTTAATTACTAAATAACATAAATCTTTGTATGGCTCCAACACAAAGAATTCATTTTTCCGCCGCCTTAGGTGTTTCGGGGCGAGTAGACAAATTCTTCTCCTGTTTTTTACATCTGTGATTCTGACTGTTGTACAGTTGTGCAATACTACATGCTACACGTGTTCATCTACTGCTTTAAAATAAAAAAGCTCCACCAGTGGAACATCTCAAGCTAAAAGATTGCAGTTCAGCCCTTTTTTGAGAAGCAGAATCAGCCTAACATAATACCATAAGGCGCTTTCACACCGGAGTACTTTTCGCAGTATAGTTCCAAAAATGTGCGTTCACACCAAAACAATCCGGAACTAGAACTTAGTTCATGAGAACCTTTCACCTCCTTTTCAGTCCCTGCTAGAGAGCGGGGAGAAAAAGGTTCCCATTTCTGATTGGCTGGGCGGATTGCAAACCACGCCCCGTAAAACTCCCAAAACGTTTTGTGAAGCCGCCATTTTATTTTCCTCGCATTAGCATTAGCAGCATTAGCATTAGCCCAGCGCACCAACGGAGAGAGACTAATTTATGGCAACACAAAATAAAACATGGGAGCGGTGGAGATGAGGAGGTGTCGGCGTTCTGGCGATTTACTCGGAAGGCTTCAGTAGAAGCTGCTGGGAGTCTCAGCAGCTTCTACTGAAGCCAGTCCCCAACTCCGGGGACTTCCGGCCGGGGACTTCGGGCGGCAGTATACGCCGTGAAGTTGATTGTGGCCTGCCAGTAAAGCCAAGCAGAAGAAGAAGAAGTGACGTCAGCGTCTCCATTTGCCTAATCCTCCCTCAGGGACTTATTCCGGTGTGTTAGTTCATCAGAACTAAAGAGTTCTGATGAACTAAGTTCTTCAGTGATTATGTTAAATGTTCTTGTATCGTATCTTGATGTCTGTCCTTGTTTGATGTTGCAAATGGAGCTGCTGTGATGCAAGAAACATTTCAGACTTGACCTCACAATAAAATATCATCGTATCAGTTTCTGCTTGCATTAACTGTACATTTTGGTTTATTTGATTATCTTTTTCTCCTTTTTCTAGACGGGCTGTTTAACCAGTACATCAGCCAGCAGGAGTACAAGCCCCGGTGGAGTCAGATCATCCCCAAATGTAACAAAGGTACCCAAGAAATCAACCGAGACGACATGACGAGTGAGACCATCTACTCAAGTGGGGAAATACTCCCAATCACATTTCCGCATGTGACGTCTCAGTGGCCTTGTAGCTAAAACTCCCTCCTGTCCTCTGCTCACTCCACCTCTTCTACATTATCATTCTTCCTCATCTTCCTCATGCTCCACCTCCTCCTTCCTCTTCTCTCTGCAGGTGACGGAGACGACAACAGGCCCGGGATGAGGGGAGGACATCAAATGGTCATCGACGTCCAGACTGGTGAGACCCATGGATGTTTAATAAGAACTGGATACAGCGTGGGAGGCGGGGTCTCGTTCTTTCCTTTGAGAGCTGCTCATTGGCGCATGAGGACAAAATGGCCAGATATTTTTGAGAGTGAAACGTCACAGATTACCCAGCATGCCTGGCTGTCGGAGCAGAAGAACCCGTATGTGCGCTCACAGAGCATGCACCCTTTAAGCCCCGCCCCCAGAGCTCCCACTCTCTGCTCAGTAGAATGAATGGAGATAGAAAATATATCTAGATTTGGCTTTTAGTGCATTTTACAACTTTAAGGACCTAATGATTCGAATAAGGGCTACATCATAGTTCATACTGGGTAGATTATTTAGTTAAAAAACAATTATCCGCTGATTTACAGACGTCTCTTTCCCAATGTTAGTCAATGGGGGGAAAAAGTCTATCTGGGCCCAGTGACGTCACGTACTGATAAGGAAATTGTAGTACCGCCGTTTGGACACAACGAATATTTTCCTCAGAGTCCAGAGCACTTCCTGGGGGCTTGGGTGAGACCCAGGCAGCCATTGTTATGACTCTGCTTTTTAACCGAAGCTCTCTGACTCATATCCTCCTACGCACACTCAGAAACTCTATCACTGTTTAATCAAATTAAGCACCCTCACCTGACCTTCAGCCCTTCTCTAAAAGGAAAAAGTCCTGAAGTAATCTCCTTTTTAAGAGCTCATGAAGACGCTCTTTTGGACTGAGA